CATGAAAAACTGCATATGATTTTGTACTCTCATGGCATGTAACAAATTGTGCTGGTAGAACTGGAAGGAGGACTGCTCTCTAATTAAGTATCAGGGTGAATTATTTGACGTTCTGCAGTAAAATTAGTTTTAATTAAATTTAAATTTGACAATAGAATTTAATTGTTTTACTGGCCACAGGACTGAATAGTACTTTATAAAGACATCTAATCAACAGCAGTTCTAATCCCAGAATTGGCATGTGAGAAGCATTTGTCGACATGTAATTAGGACCCAATCCAATCCTCACTGAAACAAACTTCCCATTGATTTTAATAAGAAGTACATTAAACTCTGGACACCGCAGTTCACAATAAGTGCCATCTCTGCTTTTAGAATTTGGCACTAGACCAAATCCTATAATTTAGCTTGCTACAGACAGTGATCTTAGCCATATTATATGGTATGGCAGCTACAAAACAGCTGCCATCAGCTTCGAAGAATGGTAGTTTTATAAACTGGGAAATGAGTTTGTCATGGTAGATTGTTATATAGAAGTAGATGCGAGTCCAGGAAATGTTGCAGAAAGATAATTTTCAGTAAAAAGACCACTGAAATGGCCTGATAAGAGTATCAGTTTTAGTGACTAAACAGACGCTCAGGAAACATTTCAAAGCTGCATACATGGCAATTTTAAAAAATATTCCTCATCCTCAAAGTAATCAATTTCATAGTAACCAATAGACATCAATTATTCACATCAGAGGGAGGGATATACTTCTTTTACAATCTTCATTTAATCCACATTTTAAAAACTACTGATTTTAATGATTGTACCCAGTGTGCAATGCAAGTGTCTATGAAGATAGCAATTGCATCTGGGAGCTCTTTGCAGGCCTTCTGTGGGATTGGCCATTCTTCCAAGCTCAGTGGTTAAGCCAGTATTTGTCATATGCTGATGTGTGGAAATAGGTATCTGCATGAAAAATGGCTTCGTTTTCTTCTAGACCACCTACAATTACATTCTAACTGCATATGTTATACCAATCTACCAAAAAAGCATGAGAGAATACTCAGGAAGCTACAAATCTGTTAAGGTAATCTTTGGAGAAATTTGGCCTGTGAGATATAGAAAGGCATTGAACAATAAAAGAAATTGTCAAGCATAGTCAGTATGTGTTCATCAAGGGAAAGTCTTGCCTTAATGATTTTATCTCTTTCTGTGATAAGTTCACCCGTTTGCTGGATGAAGGGAAGGTGATGGATGCAAAATTTCTGGATTTCAGCAAGGCATTTGATACCATCCCTCACAGTATCCTTCTGGACAAGTTGTTCAACTGCGAGACAAACTGGTTCATGCTACACTACACAGATGAACTGTCTCAACAGTAGAGCTCAAAGTGTTGTAGTACATGGAACTATGTAGGTGGATGATGGTCACCAGGGGTCAATTCCGGGGCAAGCTTAGCGATGATACAAAACTGGGAGATGTTTCTTACTATGAAGGGAGAAGTGGCCTTGCAGAGGGACCTAGCTATGATAAAACACTGGGCAACCAGCAACGGCATGAAGTTCAACAGAACTGTGCTGGAGTCAGGTTTGGTGCAAGAAAAAACTTCTGTACAACTAAGGAGTTCAGACACTGGAACAGGCTTCTTGAAGAGGTGTCTGATGCCCCGCGTCTGTCGGCAGTCAAGAGGCATTTTGGACAATGCCCTCAATTATGTGCTCTAACTTTTGGCTATCCCTGAAGAGGTCGAGCAGTTGAGCTCTATGGACTCTTGTGAGTCCTTTCCAAAGAACCGTTCTTTTCTATCCTTCAGATAGCCAAGGCATTTTTGCAGTGCTTAAACATCTGTAGATGTACACAACTAAATGAGATTAATCTTGCTCTTCTAAAGGGACTTGACCTCTGATACTAAGCACTGCAAGAATATTATGTAAAATCATGTCTAATATTTTTTGTGCAGGGAAAAGATTCTAATTTACTTTCTGTCCTAATGACCTGTTGTATGTCTGAGCTGCTAGTAAAGTCTCCCTTATGGTAATGAGGTGAATTTTCAAGGTCGTAAGAGAAAGTGCATTATTAATTCATCACTTGTAAAAAATTTCCCCTGTAAATAAGGATAATACTCACAATCCCTCTTGTCTCTTTAATTACTTATTTGTCAAAACCTCAATTCATTTAAATCACTTACCTGTTCTGATGAAGGAGTAATACATGTAAAATTATCTTTTTAGCCTTATCTTGGTGTATGCTGAATGATGACTAATGTGCTCTCATGTTTGTGCATCCAGAGAAGAGTAATGAAGCTCTGAAGGGTCTGGAGAGCAAATCTTATAGGAAGCGGCAGAAGGAACTGGGACTTTTAGTCTGGAGAAGAGGAGGCTCAGGGGAGAACTTACAGCTATCTATCTACAACTGCCTGAAAGGAGATTGTGGTGAGGTGGGGGTTGGCCTCTTTTCCCAGGTAAGCATAATAGGATGAGAGGTAATGGTCTCAAGTTGAGCTGAGGGGTGTTCAGGTTGGATATTAGGAACAACTTCTCAAAAAGACTGGTAATGCATTGGCACAGGCTGCCCAGGGAGGTGGTGGTGTCACTGTCCCTGGAGGTGTTTAAGAAACGTGGAGATGTAGTATGTAGGGGCATGGTTCAGTGGGCAATAGGGGTGATGTTATTGGTGGATGGTTGGACCAGATGATCTTGGAGGTCTTTTCCAACCATAATCATTCTATGATGCCACGATTATAGTCATGGTGCAGGAAAAAAATGTTTATGCTGACTTCAAATAGAGTCTGAGAAAGTTTAGAGAAGGTATAGGTGTTTCTGTGCTGTCATTCTGTTACGTCTGTAATGAGGTATAGAGTCAGTCTGGGAAAAATGGCATACCTGAGTATACACAAATGGAAAACTTTTCTCAAATTTGTTTTTTCCGTGATGGTACTGGCAAATAAAAATACTGCACATTGGAAAAATAAGCAAGATTGATGGTCTTGAGCCATTTCAAATTTGTTTGGAAATAAAACCTTTTTGCTAAGGACAACCATGTTCCAGTCTCTTGCAAAATCCTGGAGTGAATAGATTTGTGATTATTGATTGCTTGTGAGAATTTTAACTGAATAATGGATTGTCACATTCAAGTACACTGGCTGAAGTGTTTCCTATGTATATTACGGTCACGTTGCTAACAGCACATCTTGAAAATAATTGTGCTATTTGTGGGAAGAGTTAAGCTTTATATATCTACTGGTGGATTTGTCTGTGTAGACTCTATGACTAAATGAACAAGTGTGCTCAAGTGAGTTAAAATGGTGTACTTCTGAGATTCATAAATGGAAGATTTTGAGCATGAAAATGGGCTTCAGCCACATTTGTCTCTCACTGTCACTGTGAATATGCTCCTTGGGTGATGCTGCATTGCTCACGAGGACTTATTTTGTCTCTCTAGGATTTGGGCTTTTCCTCTGGAGGTTGTGCAGACATCTGTAGAATGTGTGTCCTGTGCACGAGAAATAGGGTACAGCTAAATGAGCTTTGCAGAGGTTATGTGGTATTTTTAACAGACCTGCCTCCTGCCTGGTTGTCTGAGAAGAAAAATTTATGGGAACTTGAATATTAGTCACTTCTAATGCTGACTCTATGAATCAATTTGAAGTGGGATTGAAAGAGTAGTCACAAAGAAGGGAGCGGAAAGATGTAATTAATAGATTGTAAAGCTGAAAAGACTGTCTGATTCTGTGTAGCTCAGGTCACAGGTCTTCCCTGGATTAATTTTCACTTGAACTTCAGCATCTCTTTTTGAAAGCCATCCAATGCTGATTTATAAGTTCTTAGTCCTGGAAAATCTTGCAGGCATCTTCATGGTGTGCCTGTAATTAAACACCTTTGCTATTAAAAAAAAAAAAAAAGAAAAAAAAGAAAAAAAAAAGAAAAAGAAGAACATCATTTTATTTTTGATCCTCATCTCCAATGTTTAATCTCTCTGCCTCAGTTTGCAAAATGTGGAAAATCTATGGAGAAATGGAGAATACTGTAAGGGTAAACACATTAAAAGACTGGGAATAGTCCAGGTGTAGATGTAAAGGAGATCATGGTTTTACGTGAGATAGACATATATTGGCTGCTAGCTGTGCAAATAAAGGATTTCCATGTCACACTTCCACATGGGAATCTCTGAAGTCCAGAGCTTTTTTTTGAACCATTGTAACCCTCTGATTAACTTCAAAGAAAGAACATAACCACTGCCTGCTTATCTACATGGCTGATCTGGGGTTTGCTCCATGCCTCTCTGAAGTCAGAATTAATGCAGCCTTCAAAATGGGTTTGAATAATTCATTTATTGATTCTCTTTGATGAAGCTCTGTTTCTCCTACTGAGAAAAAAGGGCTGTAATATTTAATAGAGATTTTTTTTTTTAATAACCCAACATTGTATTTTCCAATTGAAATTCCAGAACTGAATCTGAAAAAGAGGTGCATAAGACAACTAGATGCTAAAAGTTCTCAGAAGGGAAAAGTTTGGTGGGAAAAAAAAGGAATTATTTTAAATAGGAAGACATTAGTATGGAGGGGGTAAAGATCCAGCATGAATGGAGACTGGCAATTAAGATAATTTCTTGTTTTTTCCTCTTCAATTTTCATTCTGAAGGAAATGCTGCTTTTATAGCTTTTAGCTCAGCTGTTCTATTTATCTGGATTGTGCTGCAGTGACAAAAATAAGGAAAAGGATGTTTTGCTTTTTTCTTTTTTTTGCCAACTCTTTTACTTGTTGTGAAAAAAATAGACTGATTATGAAGTGGAATGAATTATTGATTTTTGATTGCTCAGGACTATCAAAAAGTATGCATTTGTGCTATTTCTTGTTGTACATATACAACAATTGGGTACTGAGGTTTTTTTTCATGGGGAAGCTGTATGGTCTCACTACTTGTTCCTATGCTCTCACACACATCTGATATCCTGCCCACTCTTTTTAGTCCCTGTTTCTTACTCATGAAAGGTCCTGTCTTTCTTTAATAGGAGCATTACCTGGGAGTGGACTTCGAAATGATAGCCTGTCTTTTTGTTCAACTCTGTTGGAGTCCACTTGATGATGGGTATTGCAAGATAATATTAATACCATGCCATCAAAATTTGTCAATCCAAAGAGAGCAGGTATGACTCACTGGAAAATATCCCCATCAGAAAGACTCTTTCCCAACTGCTTATCTGAGTGCGTGGAAAGATAAATGCTATGGTTCAGACTTTCCCTCCAGAGAGAGATTGTTCTTCAGGAAAAGTCAAAACAGACACATGCTCAAGTAGGCTCAACAGATTTTACAAGATATGACATAAACGACAAAGAATTTCTAGCAGTGGTTCTCTGTAGATGGATTTATAAAAGATCGAGGGCTTGAGGATTAAACTCTCTGTTGGCTGGGGTGAGACAACCTGATTATCCAGTCCAGCTGGAAAAGAGACGAGTAGCAAAGCCCATTGCAAGAAAATTAATCTAGTTAAGTGCTGCAATGCTGTCTTCAGCTGGCAGTGTCTGGGTGACACTGAACATAAACACTCATGGGTTGTGACTTGCACTGACATCCTAAGAGAACCACAGGAGACATGAAGAAAATGTTACTGTGTGTTATACTCATCTCTGCAGAAAATGAACAAATTGAGCAAAAAGTAAATTGAAGGAATGGTTTCGTATAGCAGGGAACTATGCAGCTATAGGCTGTTAGGAAGATGCATCCAATAAGTGTAATGAAGACTAATGTTATCTTTAACCTAATTAAGTATTTTTTTATGTGAAAATACTTTGGCAGAAATTTTCCTTGCTAAAATTGTGTTCTGTAGTACATACTCTGCTGTTTTTTATTTTGCATTTTTTCTGAAAGTCACGCAGCCAAACAGATCTTTGCTGGCATATTGAAGACTTGTGGAGAGAAGCAAGGAGCACGAAGGATAAGATGGGAAAAATTATCTAGTAAAAATAAATGGAGAAAAATTCTGTGTAATGGCATTTTAAAAAAATGCAGATGAAACTTGGCTTCAGATGACATACTTTTTTTTTTTTTTTAAGCAAAACTACCCTGAAAAATAAGATGATAATTATCTGTACTATTTTTTATTTGTCACCTGGCAGAATGTCTGAAGTATAATTAGTTTATGGATACAGAACTAAAAGATGCTAAGGAGCAATACACTTTCTTAAAAGTAATGTTGAACGTCATTTCTTGAATATTTTTGCATACTTCTTTCTGTCACGACATGGGGCAAAACTGACATAGGGCAATATCAGAAATGATTATGAAAATTCTTGCCTAATTTTTGTTCTGTGAGTAGTTCTGCTGGCTTCTGAGTGGCTGTCTGCAATGGTTGAAGGCAGAAAATCTGTTATCCTGCACCAACCCTTGCAGCCTTTTAAAAACATATGAAATTTGCAGGATCTGTCAAACAGGAGCTCTATGTGTAGTCCCTGAAGTTCTTCATTGCACTTTCTAGAGTGGAAAATGATAGGAGCTGTAATTCTGAGGATTGTCCATGGAGGCTGCTTAAGAGTAGTACCATCATGGTAATGCGTTCTGGATACATGATGGAAGTGGTACTGCATGTTAAATTTATCACCACAGACACTGAACTACTATTTTCTCTGGCTTATTTCCATGATGACAGTAATAAAGGTAATGTGCATGGTCCTGCAAACCCTGCCTTAATCTGTCCCTCTCTGTTCCAGGGGACAGGGCATTCCTTCATTCCTCTTGACATGTTTGTATTTGCCATTGCCCCATAGGAGATGAGGAACTGCAGACTGATGGAAGGGCTGACCTGCTTTTGGGTAAGCTTATAAATTTTAAAATGATCAGAGCTGCTATTGTTTTGGGCAGCTTGGATAACTCTAAGTACCGTCATACCATCAAGCCCCATGTTTTCATTTGCAACTGTTGGAACTAGACTGTCCTAATGATGTGGAAAAGGGAAAAGGCCCCAGGCTAACTTTTGGTATAGCAACAGGGAATTGTAATGCACAGGATTTCCTGAATGTGCTTATCTGTGGAGAATGATGTGAAACAGCTATAATGAGTAATCTATCTTCTGAAAATGATTTACAGGCCTTAATTAGAATGGTTTGCTCTTACTTATTGCTCTTCACCAATATACCCCAAAGTGCCCAATGAAAAAACATTGGTAGTATTATCCCCATCTTGTACTATATGATGTATGTACTATATACTGTAGGTATCAGGATCTGGGTCTTATATGGGCTGGAGTTCGTAATTTCTTTAGCTGGAGCACGGGACTGTATTGCTTCAGATAACTGAGTCCAGCATTATTTAACAAAGGCCAAAGGCACCTCACAAGCTGCTTTAAGTTTATGATCAAAATTTCCTGGTTTTCAACCCTTTGCTCATTCCGTTCAACCATATTGGCTCTCTGAAGTGCTAGCGGTGCGGAAGGAAGAAGATGCTTTATGATCCTTGATGACTATAAAGTAGCAAATAAAGCTCTAGGGTGCTTTCAAGCTCACAGTGATCTCGTGGGGTGGAAAATTAATCATGCTGCAGCTACTGGAGAATATATTTTTTTTACATTAGCTGCCTGGGTCTTTTTCCAAACCAGAAGATGATAAAGCGCTTCCCACTACTGGATGAAGACAAAAGAAATTGTCATCAACACAAGCAGTAAAATAAGCTGAATAAGCTTGTTTGGACTCCTGGTTACTAATCTAATCCTTTTACAATCATATTTTTGGCACTAGAAATAAGAACTGTTTGCAAAACAAAGTTTTTTTTTTTTTTTTTTTGTAATGTCCCAGTCATACTGTTGCAAACGTTGGATCTCATATCTTTGATCTGGTCTTTCAAACTTCAGTAACAGCCAATCTCTACTTACTACAGTAAGTATATTCTGTGTAAATCTATATAGGCAGTTAAAATTTTGGAAAGCACTTATAAATTTTTCCCTGCAGTCAGTGTGTATTAGATACTGCTGAAATAAAGCATAGGCAGTGGTTTGAGGTTTCTTGAGACTCCCAGTATTCCTGATGAAAAAAAATCTTAGCTTTATTTTTTCCACTGCTATTTTGCAGACCAATTTTCTTACACCAGAGATCTTTCCTGAGACCTCTATTATACTGCAAGTATGGGGGTCCCTCTGGGGTACCAAACTGTCTATGTGCAAGATAATTCACAAATGCTCAAGATTTTATTTTCCTGCTGAAAGCTTGTTCTTATCTAGACAAGGTCATTTGGGATTTCCGGCATGGTTACAGTCTCCTTGTAAGCTGATCATTCCCCTTTTCACAAGCTGCAGCAGCCTATGAGCACTGGGATTTCATATGCTCTGAGCAAGGTCAAGCTTAGCATTTTCCACCCCAGTGTCATTACATCACTGCAGCACAGATGAAAAATGGAAATCATGCTTTTATTATAGCAAAGCCAGCTCTCCAGTTTTGCACTGCTGCCACCCTTTTGTCATCATACTGCACCTCAACCATCTTCTCATAACGTAGGTCAAAACAGAAGACTGAACTTGGAAAGGCAGATAACTTCTTGACTTGCACTTGTCTTTAACATCACTGAAGGGTTGTCCTTTAGAAAAGTGGAGCCCTGTTGCAAAACTATTTATATTTATCTGTTCCTTGAATTTCAGCAGTAGAAAGATGTTTCTATATTCATTAAAATGCTAGGAGTAATGCTGTATAGGAACCGATTTTCTCTTTCTCTTTTTTCTGTAATTTCAGTTTGTCAATCTCAAGAAGGTGCTGCGCATCAGCTGTGGCAACAGACCACTTCCATCACAGGCTTCCACTAAGGGGAAAACTGGAACTTCAGAAGAACAACTCAAGGATGAGAGAAAACATGTTTTCACAAAACGGAGCACAGCAAAAAAATCAAGACTTGGAAAAACCTGTTGGTCATCATTAGGTTTTCAGCTCATCTAGTGCAAAGCTCTGGTATTTGGTAGATTGTGCTGTGAAACTGTGTGCTCAGGTAAGGAATGATTGTGAGAGTCTGCACTATCCAAGTTACAGCAGTTCCTATGAAACACTTTGCCTTGCAGCCAAATGTTTCCTGACACAACTGACCACAATCCTTGTTAGACTACTATCCAACCACAAATTTAATTAAGGCTCAGTAAAAACCTCAGTAAGATGTAACAGTGGAATCATAAAAAAGTGGGGTTTTTTAATAATAAATGTAAGGTTTGGTAATATATCTGTGCAGAACAAGAACTTAGGATGAACACAGGGAAGTGGAATCACTATTCCTGGAGCTGTTCAAGAAACATGGGAATGTGACATTGACAGACATGATTAGTGGGCATGGTGGGGATGGGTTGATGGTTGGACCTGATGATCTTAGATATCTTTACAACCTTAATGATTCTACGATTTTATGACCTTCTTACAGACTTTGTGAAAACTAGTAAAATGCTACATCTCTCTTAAATGCTACTTCAGGGATTATTTTCACTATATATTCAATCATAGAATCACCAAGGTTGGAAAAGACCTCCAAGATCATCTAATCTGACTGTCCATCTATCACCATTTCCCCTCACAACCATGTTCCCTATTACACAATCTGAATGTTTATTGAACACCTCCAGGGCAGTCTGTCCAGTCAGGCTGTCCCTGAGCAGTCTGTCACAGCACCTGATCACTCTTTTGGAGTCCAAGCTGAACCTGCCCTGGCACTATTGAGGCCATTCCTCCCATCCTATTGCTGTTACCTGTGAGCAGAGACCGAGTCCCACCTCACCACAAAGTTCTTTCAGGGAGTTGTAGAAAGCAGTAAGGTTTTCTCACGGCTCCAGTTCTCGAACACTGAACAATTCCCGCCCCCTCAGCTGCTCTCTGTAGGATTTGTGCTCCAGACCCCTCCCAGTTTCATGGCTTTTCTCCAGACATGCTCCAGGGCATTGATGTCTTGTAGTTCAGTGGATTGAAAGAAAGAACAGAAGCCTTATTTGCTCAAGTACACGCTTACTTGGACATCATCTTTCACTGAAGTATCTAACTCACTAAGTATTCAAAACCAAATGGAGCAACTCTGGACTTCATCTACTTGAGAAAATGTGGTTGCTTACTTAGCGGATGTGTTGCAGCTTGGATTTGTGTTGGGGTAAGTGTCCAGCTGTGCACAGCCTTGAACAGTTTCCAGTTCTCCCTGGAAAAGGAAGTTGTGCCCCACTTACTAGTGTTTCCACAGAAAAACAGATGTAATTGGGCAGCCATTAATGGAGAGGAAAGGAGCCCTAAGTAGTGCAAAACTTAGGGAGGACTTTGCCAAAACAATACTCAGTCTGTTTGATGCAATGCAGGGTGCTGTGTGGAGGATGAAACCCTCAAGTGTCACCTGTGGTGTCTTCTGTTGCTAACTGTCTTCATGACTATTTATAAAACAAAAACAAAAACAAAGAGAACCAACAAAAACAGGTCTCTATGTTTCTGTAATTTTCTAATCTGTGGTAGAAAATCTTATACATGTATAAAAAATAGTCCTCACTAAGCATGGGTAAATTTATGGACTCTTGTGCAATACTCAGTCCCATTTTGGATGCAAATCAATGTTTTTTCTGCTGTCATTAAGTGAACTTTCTGAAGCATGAGGAGTACAAATGATCTCTAGAACTGAAGAGGTACTTAGCAACATGAGGTTGGGTGGTTAAATATTACATAATTCTGTGGAAAATATTTGTTTTTCTTGAAAAGTCTTATATAAACTCTTATCATTTTGACCTCTACAGTCAACAGTTATAGCTGCTTTCCCTCCAGATATTTACTGTAAAATGCAGAGATACTGTGATCTGAAGCACAGGGCACAAGTGTGAACTGCTGTTGTTCTGGTCCCGCCCCTGTGGTATTTATCTGATTTAGGGAGATTTAAATTGGATACATGGAAAAGTTTCTTACAGTCAGAGTGGTAAGGCACTGGCACAGGCTGCCTGGAGTGGAGGTGGATGACCCATCCCTGGAGATATTCTAGGTCAGGCTGGATGTGGCCTCTCAGCACCTGATGGAGCTGCAAGTGTCCCTGTTTAACGCAGGGGAGTTGGACTAGGTGGCCTTAAGAGTTGCTTTCTACTCAAACGATTCTATGATTCTCTTCCATTTACAATCTACAGATGTTAAATAATGCTGAAGATAGGGCTGTGGTTAAATGTAGTTTGTCACTGAGGGCTCTGGAAAACTAAGAGGAAGGATGTGAGACACTGCAAGACGTCTTTTTAATTTTTGCTGTCTCCTGGTGAAGTAAAGTATAATGCCAGTAAATAGCAAGATTCTGCAGTAATTTGTCCTTCAGTGACACAGAACTCCTTTAAAGTTGCTCAACGTGCCATTTTATTTCTCATGCTCTTGTGATACTATATTGAATTGTTTCCTCCCCACTTACAATTAATGCAAGATGAATCTTTCTTCAAAGGACATTTTAGGAATTGGGCACCCATTTCTCAGACATTTTCCATGCCAGCTGGCACCAAATTTACTTAGGCAGTTCTTGAAATCTCACCCATAGAATTTAATTGTTAACTGAAGAGTCCTCGCTGGAAAATATGATTAATTCAAATGTTACCAGCAATAAAAATTACTTTGTTATGCCTGTGACGTGCACTGTTGATTCATAACAATAATGGCACGTTGCACCTAGGTAGCACTTTTCGTCTGAACTGGAGGATCAGAGTCAGTATTTCCATTTTGTGAGTGTTTCATATAAATCTCTGCATTTGTCATTGACAAATGAAAGAGTTTCAGAAATGTTTTCCCTATCATTTGTCTTTTGGAACATAAAGCAAACAAGAAAAGTTCATATTGTATCACAAGGAGTAGGAAAAAAACGAGTTTGCTGGCTGGGAGAACTTAGTAATGGCAGAGTGATGAAATAGCTGGGGGACACACTGGGCCCCACACTAAGTGCAATGGAAGGCATGCAGTCACTATGTGAACAGCAACACCCTCAGTTGTTCCTGGGGCATTGTATAGCACAGTCTGCCCCTCGCTTTGTCAATGCTATGGTAAATAGATATTATGGTTTACATGTGTACTCTCAATGCATTCACTCAAAATCAGCATGTAGCAGTGAATCACTGTGACATGATGTTCCTTTTTCAAGCACAGCGAGAGAGATATTTTCCAGATAGAGTTCAGCTTATTTTCTTTTATGCGTGATGGGAACCACACTTGGTATTTACAGACTTTTTAAAAAATTTCCTTGCAACCACAGCTATTCAGGCTTTCATTACATGTGAATTAAATGTGTCTCACAAACTCCTTTGTCAGCAAGACAGCAGGTAAAAGGCAAATAAGTGCAGGAGCAGCTTGCTGAGAGATGGTGTGAAGCACTTCCTATGCTCAATTTTCTCCTCTCTGAATAGGAAAAATATAGTTACAGAAGGTCACAAGTAGGATTTTTGTTCCAGGTTATTCTATATGTTAAATTTAACACAACAATCTGAAAACCTCTGCTTCAGGCATTACATAATCGGTTTCAACACATAATTTGATGTGCAGTGCAAACAGTACTGGTTGTGCTGGGAGGTATGCAGATGCACAGTCCAAAGAGACATAACATACAATCTGGGAGGGAGGCAGAGTAATTCACTTCATCACTGGGATTGTATAGAAAAGTGATTTCAAACTCATGCCTTAAAGTGAAAAAAATTTCCCAACAGTTCTGGCAGATGTGGTTTGCTTCTCTTCTGCTCCAGGCTTCTAATGTAAAAAAGAAAAAGTTATGTCACAGAAGTAAAAGCTACAAGAAAACCACAAAATACAATAAAAAAATACATATAATTAATAACATATCAGTGAATGGCTGCTCTGTGGTTTCTGTAACGTGGACTCCATAGAAAAATGCAGTGTGTGGGTCCTTAGATGTAGCTCGAACTCTGGAGCCCGTTTTCCTGACTCCAGCATTGTGTCCTCGGGGCAAAAGAGATTCTTCCCAAGGATGGTTTAAAAATATTAAACAGAGTTTTTCCATGAGATGATGTGCAAAAATATTCTTCAATAAAATGTGCGAAGAGCTCATGATGGCGTGCTCTTACTGAAAAAAAAAAACAGCAATAACAGCCAAACACGGCTACGGAGAGAGCTGTGAAATGAAACTCTTCAAAGGCCCAGAAAAATAAAATCATTCAATGATTAATGGGTTATGTGAGCCTTAGCTTCTTGCCGTGAACTTGTACTACATGTGAGATTTCAAAAGACTACTGCCATTCTTACACTGACTGTATAGTTTTAAATCTCTTTTCTTATCTTCAGGTTGGATATTAGGAAAAATTTATTCTCCAAAAGAGTGGTAATGCATTGGATTAGGCTGCCCAGGGACGTGGTGGAGTCACCATCCCTGGAGCTGCTGAAGAACTGTGGAGATGTGGCAAGGAATGAGCAGGTAAGACTAACAATATCTTCAATCGCCACTTATCTGAATTTTATTTTCTGGGTGCACAATATAGGCTCTTTCAAAGCAGGCTCTGATGTAGCTGTAGCAATACATAAACATGCATGAAATGTATGAAGGAACACAAAAATAGGTAGGTGGTATGGATGTTGGAAGGCTTTGGTCATCGTCTTTGATGCTGCCGTTACACTTACTGTCCTATTGCCAAAAAGGCAGGTGCAGCCAAATATCTTTATTTGCTTAAATACACTGGAAAGGAAGGAACCCTCTCTGATTTTGGTTGTTTTCTCTTGAGGTACTTTGATAATCAGCCCATGATTGGAAGACTGGGAGGGCAATGAAAATTGCCTGTTTTTTAACTGGAGGTGGAGAATAGTTTGTTTTGAATAAGTTTCACTGTAATGAAGAAAGGTTCTGTGGGATGTGATGAGATGTCAAGCTACTGTTGAAGCATCTGGATACAAGTCAGTGTGATGGGACCAGCAAACACATTTGTGCTGTCATTCTGGGAGATCATGTATTTAATGCTCTGCAAATATTGCCTTACCCTGTTTGACAGTAGACCCTGAAAAGATCCCAAGATCTTATTAACAAGCAAACAAACAAAGATAATTTAGCTTAAATTGAAAATAAAATACACAAAACAAAAACTAATATTCTTTTTTTATTTGTCCTAGTATTCCTGGACACAAAAAGGGAGAATAATTGACATTCAGGCTGTATGTTACAAATCCACTTTTCTGATTTTAGTGGTGCCTGTGACAAGAAAGGAAATGCAGGAAAGGGAGCTGGCTCCAGAAAGGAGGCACAGTTACGTAGATACTTTCTACCTGGAAAGCACATTATTATATGGGTGGATACAGCTAGAACTTTTGGAATAAAATATGCAAACAACCTAGTTTTATTCCAAGCTTGCCCTTCTTTTGGAATATTTATATACTTCCTCTGATTTTTCTAGTGCTGTGATTCCCCAGTTGGTTGGTTGGTGTTTTTGTTTTTTCTTTTTTATTTGGTGTGTCTATTTGTCTCCCTTCCACCCACGATTCATTGTTCTCCTCCATTAGTTAGAATTAGTTAGAATTAGTTAGAATTAGTTAGAATTAGTTTTGCATATCTCTCTTCTGAATATAACCAGTGCTTTGTAAGACTGATTGAGAAGACCTCTTTCTTAGAACATTCTCTAATATTCTTAGTGTACGCTCCAAAATGCTGTGTGAATTGGAAGTTGTCTTTGCATTCCTTTGCCTCTACCACTAGAGCATGTGCTTCATGAATGTTGGCTGAGAACTATGGTTGTGGTTGCTCAGGCATATGTCACTCTGTTTTCTCTTTGTCTCAGTTAATTTTGCATCTTCCGGTACCTTTCTCTGCTCATCTAAAAGAGTCTTTTCCGGTTCAAAACAAGTGGTGTTGTGCAATTTGTTGAGAGTTGATTTTTGGCTGTTTGGAAGGGATGGGAATGGTTTCACAACATGGACTAGAACCAAACATGCATAACTTTTACCTTTCTGACCCACTTGCTCACATGCTTCCTGTTTCCTTTATTGCAAAAGTTAATTAGAAAAAAATAGGACAGGCTCTCTTAAAAATAAAACAAATGTTTCCGGTCCTGTTGTTTGTTGTATGTGAGATGGGTATTTCATGCAGAGCTAGAGAATTGGAATGTCTTGTAAGAAGCCTGGTGTTTTGGGAAGAAAAAAATGGAGGAGAAAATGTGTATCTGCTTTGTACAGCAAACAGTTCACAAAGCGCTTTATTTGTGGATGCAGAAGCAAAGAAAACTTCATCTAGATCACGGTCATTGGGTCTTCAGCATGCTCCACACCAGCACACACTTCTGGTTTTCTGCAGTGTCCTTGATCTCTGTCAGTTCTGTCCTGCCTGCAACAAATTTTACCGAGTGCAGGAAGTCATCGGTGGTCCTTGACATGGCTTTTATGGCTGAGCACACGCTTTTCTAGGGAGAGGAGTGTTTTGAAGGCTTGAACTCTGTGACATTTTGCTCAACTTGTGCAATCTTTTGCTCAATATTTGATAATCTGCTGTTTTCATCAGCTGTCAGTTACAAGAATTTGCTATGGGATTTTCACAAATAAACAGCAGTAACTGGGAGACATGAAAAAGGACTGTGTACAGCCCTTGAGTTTAAATTCCTTTAAATTTCCTTAAGATCTCCACCACTAGACTGTTGTGTGCAGAGAAAGCCACAAGCGATACAATCAATCATTTGGTGAATGTGGTTTTCTGAAACAGCTGTGTATCTGGATAAGCTGCTTGATAAGTTACCAAAGACAGCTTATGGGTGGTGCTTGTGCTCTCTGCAATTGTGCGAAGTGCTGTTCAAACTGCCCTTGACTCCCAGCCAACAGATGGGAAAGTCATTAGCAATCAGATTTGAACAACAGTTGCTTTCTGTGTTTACAAAGTTCTGTACATGATCTGTATGTTGACAAGTTATAAACTGGGTGGAAAATGTCTGACATCTCCTCTCTGCAATTTCTGTAAAAAAAATGCAGCAATCAACACACAGCTGAGGGCTCCAGCAACCAGCAGAAAAAGGACTCGATGTGGTAAAAGGGCAGGACCATTAGGAACAACAGCAAGGCCAGTTTGCCACTAGACACAAAGTTCACCCCAAATCACGAGCATTTCTTGTGCTGTAGCTGAAGTCAATAACCTCAGTACAAGCAAGAGGAGTACTCCAGGTGCATAAACCTGAGTAGTCCTTAGGCAGGTCTAGTTTATGTGTCCATAGCACATAATCTAAGCTGTGCTCAGCCCTGGCAGAGCTGTTGGAGTAATAATTTCTCAAAAGTAAACTGCAGCAGAAAATCTCTAGAAAGCATTCTGCATAACCAGTACATAATTGACATCAAGCGTGGCATTATCCTCTTTTTGTTCTTATTAACTAGATTCCTCAAGACATAAACACATGATCAAGCTAATCCTAGTATTCAAGAGTTTATATTAGGAATAAAATTAGTTCATTATATTTAATTTATGGGTAAAGAATCTCCATTAGTTTGTAATGTTTCCCTGTGCTGTAATAACGCTCTCTGCTTTCCCAGCTACTGTCCAGGAGCAGTCTGGTTAGTGCAGAACCAACATTTTGTCAAGGCACCTGAGGGCTGGGTTGGTAGAAGTAAATCCGTTCCGATAAGAATTATTTCACTAGTAGGCCTGACAGGTTATTTATTTATTTACTTATTGTAATCACAGTATTGCAAATATGTATTTTTTAATTGTTCTTTACTGAAAACCAAATCGGCAGGAGGGGAGATTTTTCAGAGTCAGATAGGCTCAGGTGGTCAACTCATAATTTTCAGCATGACTCAAATGGCTCTTCGTTCCCTTACATTTCATTTTGCTACGTTGCAATAACCACAGATGTGACTGTCCCAGCCCTTTCCCCTGTCCTGGATCCCCTGAGGAGGACTATTTGTGAAATATACAGCAGAATGGATAGCTGACGGAGGTGAAGTTTGGATACATGTGTTTCAGACATGTAATGCATGGAGATTTTAAAACTAAAGTGGTGATAATGATGCTACCTGGCTTTAAATTCCTGCTGAATTAAAGGATCGATTCAGCCGTAAAGTGATCACTGTATTGTGATCTGTATTGTAGAAAGTAGCAATGAGCTTGATGTTCCTTCTGATGGGTCAGTGGACTAGGTATTAATGGTCTTTTCCAGCCTTACTGATTTTATGATTCTATTCTGTCATTCTATGAAATCAAAGGAGCTGGTAACAGAACAGTCAAACAACAACCAGTAACAGCTTTGGTATTATAAAAGAAAAGATGTATGTGTAAAATCATTTTCCACTTAAAAAAAGTGAAATAAAACACTAGGCAAATGATTGCTAGAAAATTTTATCCTGATTCTTCTGCTAAGGTCAGTGTGTATTTACCTACTTGACAGATGTTGATGCTCTTGATTAGAAATAATCCATCTTTTCTCTCCCCATAAATATACATAGGCAAATATGCATGTACCTACCTACCTGCATGAAAGGGACTGAGAACATAGACATTTAGTTATTGAATTGGCCTCCACGAAATGTGGAAATTTTCAAACACCTTCTATATTTCAGAGCAGAAGCACATGGCCAACCTCATTTTCCATTCAATTGTGAGCCATTATTTACATCTGTGAAAAGTGAGTGAAAAATGCTACCAGCATGAATAAACCAATTTCTAATTTCTTCACATAAACATGACATTATAAAACATAAGGAAGCGAAAAGCTGGTCCTTTGTGCTGGCAGGAGCAGGTTTCAATTCTGGTCCCTCATGAGCCAAGTCTTTCTTGCCATATTTCTCAGGTAATTAAGTCAGTTTATGGGAAACTGTGTTCGTTTTCCTGCCTGTCCCCTTTTCATAATGATTTTGCCCTGAAATTCTGAGGTGGAGAGGTATCAGCACTGCTATACCTCACTTAGAAAACAGCAAACTGAGTCAAAGAAATGATGTGCCACTCAGATAGTTGAGATGAGAGTTAATTGAATTCAAAGTTGCTGTTGTCATGCCAGAGACAATCCTCTGACACAGACCCAAGCACTGTTTGCTAACCTACCATTAGCAGTCCAATGGCATCTGTACCTTCAGCACCTCTGTCTTAATGTGTCCTCTGTGTCCACAGCTGACACGTCAGTCCAGTTCTGTAAAAATGAACAGTTGGAGGGTTGGCTGAGGGAAAAAGTTTAAATCAAAGGTGTTTATTTATGTAATGAAAGAGCGTAATGTGGAAATACTTCCAAACTAAACCTCTCACTTCATGAATGTTTCTCACCAAAACTTTGGAGTTAACATTAATTTCTAATGTAATTTGAACTGTAGTCCTAGCTCTGCATGTCTGAAATTATGAGAAGTTTCTGATTTACAGCCATCCCTAACTGTCAGGC